AAAGAGTGGAAGGGAAAAAAACTGACAATTTTTTTTTTCAGGAGTCAATGAAATGCTAATTTTCTATGCCTTCTGCATTACTGCGGTTTTTCAGCTACCAGCTAAACTTAATTTAGAATGAGCATGAGTTTTAACTCATGAAGTGCTGAGACTGACAGCTAGTTTCAGTTCAAGTGTGCCTCATGAGGAAAAGAAAATTCACAGCAAAAGCTGTAAAAACTACTCCAGTGAGGGTATCTGAAGCAGACTGACCTTAGGCAAGCATATTCTAAGCCTGAGTTCAGCTGCCACGCTGCTGGCTCAGTGGAAGTGGCGTATTTCGGAGCCAAGCTTCATGAGACTCATGATTTGGAATCCAGATTTTTAATAGATTGAATGTAAATCAGGTAAAGACTTAAATCCAAAGTTTAACAGACAATGAGAAAAGATCACTGGGATTCATAAGAGAGAACACCTTGAGCATCAGAATGCCTAAACAGTGAACAGGATACGTAGTTGATCCAATGATCACCTTGTAAAAAGAGACCTGGGGAAAAAGGGTTTTCTCTATGGACACAGTACTGTGAGGCTATCAACTTTACAGGAACAACAGGATGCACAGATGGGGAAGCAATGACCTGTGTGTAGGAAAATATGAAGCTTAACAGCATAGAACTACAGTGGGGAAAAAAGAAACACTATGGAAATCCCATACTTGAATAACAAAACCACAGTGCTAAGGTTGTACTATTAACTCCCAGTCTGAATACAATAGGCATTGGGAAATGTAAGGGAGACCACAGAAGCCGCAAAATTAAGACAGTAGTATTAAGAGATTTTCACTACTCACATTCAGGCCAGATCAATGCCTCATCAGGACGACATGTGGAGATTACATTTTTGGACTCAATAAATTACTTCCTTCCTATAAAATCCTTAGTTTTCCCTACTAGTCTTAGAATCCATAGAAAAAGATGCTATTCCAGACTGGATCTTCCAGACCTAATTCCAAAGGTGTTCGTCAGACAGCTACTCTGGAATAGCAATATGATGAAGTTTAACGTTGCAGCAGGAGAGAACATACCAAATACATCCAGCATATAGATACTCGATATGCAATAAAGGAATTACTTAAAAATGAGACAATAAAGAAAAGAATTCTGAAAGGACTAGCCCAAGTAACAAGAAGCTTGCAAGCAGCTTGTAGGCTGTTCAAAAACACTGTGTAAGAAGCCCAGGCACGCTGTGTGCCTCAACCTAAATAGGAAACAACACAACCCCCCCAAACCCATATGGCTTAATAGAAAAGTTAGGGAGGCTGTCAAAGGGCACAGGTCAGCATTGAAAACAACAAAAAGCTTGTCCAAACAAGGAGGACAGCAAAGCTCACAAAATGCTGATGAAATGCAAACAGAAAATTAAGGCTAAAAAGTAATTTGAAAAGCACCTTGTAAAAGGATGTTCTGGCTGATAGGTAAAGGTTCTTTAAATATATTAAAACCAAAATATATAGAAAATATACCAAAAAGACAACTACAGAACTGAAGAGACTACTTGATAACAACAGTTTAAAAATGGTTTAAAAAGCGACGACAAAGGCATAGCAGAGAAGATTCTCACAGGTAACTCGTTCTCTTCAGCAAGAAATACAAGGTGAAACACCACAAGCGTTATACCAAATGGAGAATTTGGACCTGGGTGGCATTCCCTTGAGAGCTCTCAAGGAACGCAAATACAAAAATTGCAGACCTGCTGGCAAAGGTATGCAGCTGTCATTACGAAGTGACACTATGCCTGATGAGAAGGGGTCTGTCAGTATCACTCCCATCAACAAAAACAATTTGAGAGGACGCTGGAGCAGAGAAGTATGACTTCCCTCTCTGGAAGAGTCTATAATAAATAGTAAGATCACTGGCTCTTATCAAAAGGTATGATCACTGATCACATATGTGGATAAACACTGCTGGAAATGAGTAATCCTGTCTCACTGATCTGATGAAGATCTATGAGTGTGTCAATAAGAATACAGGTAAAGGGGATCCAGTAGACATAGTGTATTTGGATTTTCAAAAAGGCTATTAAGGAAACTAAATTGCCATGAGCTATCCTTCGTGGAATCCTTTGGCAGGTAAAGAAACCTTTGCTGGTTAACTTTGTTGACCCATATGCTTTCATCCTGGCATGAATCAAGATGGTTGCAATTTGCACAAGGAGGACAGGAGAATGTGACTGAAGAACTGCTCAGCAACTGGGGCTAACAGGGACTGGGGGAAGGCAGCACCTCAAGTTAGAACAGAGAGGGCGTGACTCTCAGTGGAACAGAAGTTCAGGAATGCTCTTACTTAAGGATAAGAGATAAGAAGTTTGGCACTCCCTGCTCTACAACATCCTCCTAGATGACAGGAGAGAAGGATGTGAATTGCTTCAGGCCAAGGGAAGTGCTAAACCCTGCTCTCCTACTTCTTGTATGAATGTGCCAACTTGTCACTAAAATCCACAGCTATGCAGTTCCTTCTCCACCCGTGTCTTTAAACAAACGTCCCTGCGTTTCATGTAGAAGTTGATACTTTTAGTATACTTTAGGCAACTCTTTTGGTAAAAATGTGAAGCCATCAAAATCTATAATAAATATGTGTATTCTCCACCATAAATATACAAAATGGGCTTATTCATGCAACTGTGTTCACATGATATTTTGGCATTTTTGTGTCTTTAGGTTTGATATTCTTTAAAAACATTCATGAGAGCTCTACGTTTTAACAATCATTAGACTTACCGCAAAAAACTGCACTGCAGCACATATTCTCCAAATATGTCACCTCAGCTAGTTCCCTCTAGCCTCATCTAGTAATCAAATGGAGATAATTTACCTCAGCCAGGCAATAAATAAGTCAACAATTCTAGCAAATCTTATAACCAGTGAGCAGCCAAAATCATGTACTAATTCTTCCTCACAAAAAAATACAAAATAACATTTCCAATTTGACTAAAAAGTAGAACTTCAGCTATCTAATTTCAGAATCCTAATCATTAAAATAACAGTTATATTTGCATATTTTCTATACTTTGCACAAGTTCCTACTAGCCTGTCAAATTTTAACATCTGTTATGTTGGTACCAAACTTAAACTTTATATTTTTATAGGGTCTAGCGTCCAAGTTGGTTAAAATAAAGACTCCGTTATCCCTGGTTCCTCTAAACATAACAAGAAGATATTTAAATGCTAGTATAGAAGTCTGTCTTTAAGAGATGCATACCCTAAGGAACCATGTGAGGTTATCATTCATCCGAAACAGGCACCCCAGGGAGAAAATAACCATAATCAGTCGACAGGCTCATTAAGTGCAGCAAATTATTTTCATATTATAAACATGAAAAGCAAGAGCTTGGAAAAAAATCCTCATGTCCATACCAAGAAGACAATCTATCTGGTAAAGTGTCATTGATTTCTATAGCTTCTGAGATTTTAATTCTGGAAACAAGAGTCTCTTCCCACCAAGATAACACTACAGGCACTGCTGCCTATTCAAAGAAAGTATTGTATCCTTTCTCCACATCCGTGAATGGAAAGCTCTATTGCTCTGTCAAGGAGGCTACCAAGATGCAGCAGCATCATTCATAGCTGATTCTCTCATCTTGTAGGATCAGGTTATATTTGCAGACAAGGAATACATCTATTTTTTTTAAAGAGTATATCATTTCATCTATTTCCTTAGATGTAAGACAGACTCTTTAATAATTGCTATGTTTAAATCAAGCCTAAGTGTCTTTCCAGAAAACATTTTTTAATCACTTATGAATGTGATGTAGGCATTACTGAAAAGATTCTATGGCCTGTACCATGTACACAGTCACTGATAAGCAATTCAAAGTGATAAAAAAACTTTTGTGATCACTCAAAAAAACCCCTTTCAATTCACAATCACATATTTACTTCAAACATTACCTGCAAATTTCAACTAGAACCCCCTGTCTTATTGTGCGAGGAAAAAACACGTTCCTGAAGCAACACGTTTTTCGGAAGTTAAATTCACTTAAGTGCGTCATTTATGCTTTTAAAGAAAACTTTTTTAACAGATGGGTCCTCATGCAAGTGACTAAATGATGCAGGAGAGCTACTACTGCAGGCTGGCAAACTGGCCAAATAGATGAAAAATCCTTCAGCTTTCACTGTATCCTTACAGAAACCCTTAAAAATGGTATTAAATAGAACCTAAGACAAAAGTTCTGTATCATTCACTAAATAATATAAAACGTTTGACAACAGTTTTAAAGCATGCATGATCACAGATCAAAATCCATTTTTAATGCAAACAATGCTTCAAGTGTCGTCTTCCTTTACATACAAGATTTTGTTTTGAAAATCAAGTAATTAACCAGATGCTAGGTCTCACAGATTGTTTTTGTTATAAATGCTATTTATGAATGAATGAGTGAAGTCCCTTTTCCCTGAATACAACAGAAACCAAATAGCAGGAGACACATTCTTGCCTCACAGCCCCAAGCTTCTTTCAGTCAACTGTTAGCTCCAAACCCCAGTTCTTAAGACTTTTCTCAGGGTTGTATTCTGCCCCCCCTCCTGAGGTCTCCTGGCTGCCTTCCCTCTCAGCATTTGTAAGTCTTCCCACGTTCCTTTCAAATACACAAATCTTCATAAAACAGCAGATGAAATTGCTCCCTAGTTTTCTATTTTTTAATAGTGACATGTTTGGGCTAGAATTTGCTGAGTTTATCAAGTACGTGTTTCCATGAATAAACATAACCGATCCTTGTGATAATTTTGAATGAGAAGTTGTGTGCATATTCTTCAGTTATCGAAACATAACATTAAAGTATTTGCAACTAATATTAAAATAACTGCAACTGTGAGATAGACAAAATAATGCACCTGTGCATCTTACCATGTTCCTTCCAATGCATCATTTGTTAAAGTTAACACAATTGAAGTCAACATCATGCAGCTAGTACCTGAAATATGTTTTTCCAGCTTTTTGGCTTCCTTCTCTCCACTGTGCAGTCACATCAGGTGGCTGAAGGTGCCCTCCGAAAATATGTTCCCAAAGGTAAAGACCTACATAAATGAAGACATGATGGTCAATTTGAATGAACGGATCTTGCCTACTCTGCACTCCCAGCAAATAAAAAGTATTTCTGGGAAATTAAAAAGCATAACGATGTAAGAACTTTGGTAAAAAATGTCAGAGCTTCCTATACAATATGGACATTGTTTCCCAAATTCTGTATTACTTGGAATTAGTTGAGTTTTTCACACATAGGGCCATTTAAAAAGATTCTTTAGCTGTCAAAATATCAGTAGATGAAGATGTACCACACTACCACGTATGTTAGCATCTCTTTCTGGTACACCTACCACTTAAAAACGAGCAAATATTAATCAGCATTTTAGCGACAGGCACAGTTCTCTTACACTTTTGTGAAACACATCAAATTTTTGTGATCGAATGCATCACTATACAATATACCAATGTGTTCTACAATGTTACATGAAAATTCAACTGACGCTGGAAATGTTACATGTTCAAAAAAGCTAAAAGAAGAACACTGATATGTCTTCAGCAGCAGTTAAAGAGCTTGAAAGGACCTTGGCCTCCAGTTTATGTAGAGACTTTGCCTTCTACAACAGAAGAATTTCCAAGATCATCAGTACCAGTAGTACTGAAGTACAGAAAATGCCTTATTTCCCACTGTGCGATGCTTTATTTCACAAAGTGTAAATATGACAAAAACAAATATTCTGTTACAGTCAAGTAAGAGGCCTGTCCTTGTGTTGTATTTTAAGCTAGATTGGATTCAAAAAGTAACTGGCTGACATTTGAACCATTTTCTTTGACAGATGTGAAAAACAGCCTTGAAAAGAACTGATACAAAGAAACTGGAGTCCAACTACTCTTATATTGGTATTAACATAATTTTGAGTAACAGCTACCGTTTCCTTAATGCTCTTCATGTACAGATATCCATATTAATCATATACATAAATTTCAGTCATTAAAAAAAAAGCAGAGAAAAGTGCTATATCAGAAAGGTTAAGTGATTAATAGACATCGATTACATCTGCTTACCAATTGCTGCTTTGCCCCAAATCTGTACTCTAAGACTGGTTTGCTCTAGGTGAGATCTTGCGTTTTTTATCATCTGAAGATTAGCTTCGTATCTCTGCTGAGAAGCAACCAGTTCATTTTTCTCGTCCCCTTCCCACGGATTCCACTCTTCATTTCCCAAAACAACATGATCTAAGAAACCCAAAAGCGTAATTTACATAAAAAGAACAGATTTGCAAGTTTAGACAACTGACGACTTCTCTTGAATTCGGAATGTCAAGCAGCACCCGACAACCCTCCCGCCGCCCCGGGCCGGGCACGCCGCCTCCCCCG